AATTTTTAAAGTACTTCCAGAACTTTATAAAACACTACATATGCGCTATTTGCTGCCCAGCTGGAAACAAAAATCGCGCCTCCTGACACACACCCATTCTGCCCGGGGGGTCCTTGCACTGTCAGGCGCCCATGCTTGCGAATCATGGGCCTCGGGCGCCCTCGTTCAAGTTATTATCTATTCGGGAGAATACACCCAAACGGAAGAATACAAACGGCCCCCTGATCGACAGAACAAACTATCGTCGATTCGTTGACCGCCCGAACCGCTCAAACGCTGCGGACTACGAGCGGTGCTGCTGAAATGTTGCAAGAGCAGGTTTTATACAATGGCAAAAATTTATTGGGGCAAGCGTTTTACCTCGCGGCACGTGCTCCAGTGGTCTAGTCCGTGTGGTCAACGAATCCACTAGACCCAAATCCTGATGACTTAATCAAAGCAAAAAGCAGAAATCAATAGGACTGTTTCCAAAGGTTATATTGCACACGATTTTTGAAGTTAAAAGTTACTAGGTGCAAAAATGCAATACAAATGTTTTGCTGCAGATTCTGCATTCAAAATTCTGCAAATAATCACATTCCATGTCAAGTGATTGTTTCGCAGCCTCTGAAAAACTTTCAGACTCAGCCACATTGATTTTTACTTCTTTATGCACTGAGTCAGCAGCACGCACGTGCCGCATTGCTTTTCTTCATGTGGTTGTGCAAAATTTTCCAATATTTTGCTTTCGCTCGCTCCGCCCTGCTTCATTTTCAGAACGCACAGACATAACAGCTGTGCCGGATGGCTCGCACCAGACAAACTGCTCGGGCTCGTCCAGTATTTCTGCCACCATCATCATCGTCGGAGGAGAAGACTGTTCATATTCACCTAGTCGATTACACGGTGCCCAAGTTTATCATTCACTATAGCAACAATGACGAACTCAGAGAAGCTCTACAAAAAAGACTGAAAGGACTGAAGCTTGCATTTGCTGTAGTTCCCGAGCCTGGTCTGGGTTATGAACCCAGAGGAGTGAAAGACATAGAGGGATTGATCGCTGAGATGGACACTGGCATCACATCTCCGATCTATGTGAAGCTATGGTGCGCACCAGCTGAGACTCACGCTAAATATGGAAAGAAGCAAGGCATCGCTCATCAGCCAAGAATTCGATCGCTTTCACCAAATCGCAGGCATATTCATGGCTCTAAATCTTCTCAAAGCTACCCACGATTTCCTTGCTGCAGCCCGGCACCATGGCTACCATGCTGGTGTTGCTGGGAAGAAGCTGAATTTTCATCAGCCATGTCTCAGCCAAACTGTTATTGTCAGCGTACACAAAATCATTGCTGCAACTGTACATACAAGGGAGATTATTATGAAGACCAGATGTTCATATGAAGATTCGATGAAATTTACGGCAGCTGCTGTGTACTTTTTGTGATAATAGTGAAAGTGCGGTGGTTTTTATTCGCCAAGATGGGCATAATAAATCTTTTCTTTGTGTGCATTACATTCATAACATTTACATGAAAAAGGATTGAATAATGGCTCATTATGCCAAACATCCTTGGTACTAGCTGATAAAAATAACAACCACGTCAGATATATC